TTGTCACTGTCATTGTCACGGCCACTGTCACTATTACGATTAGTATCGCTACTCCCATTACTATTACTAGTACTTTTACATTTTAGTCTTATTGAAAATGTGACAGTAAGGCTGCAAGTGCTACTGTAACTGTTAGTGTTAATGCTAATGTTGCAAATACTGTTACTATTGATACTGCTGCTGCTGTTACTGTTACTCACTGCTACTGTTATTGCCACTGCTACTGTTACTGTTGCTGTTCTAGTACTGTTACTAATAATACGGTCTTTTACTAACACTAATACTAATACTTGTCCTTATACTCATACTAATACTACCACTAAAAATAATACTAATATTCATACGAAGACTGATGCTAAAACTAACACTAAACTAATACTAATACGGTACCAGTACTGGGACTAGCACTAGAACTAATACCAGTACTAGTACCAGTACTACTAAACTAACACAAATACTAATATTCATGCTAATACGAATGCCATTGCGAATGCGAATCCGAATACTACGACTAAGACGAAGACTAAAACCACTAATACGAATACCGATTTATACTAAGTCGAATACGAATGCGACGCGAATGCGGTGGCGATTGCGCATGCGGATGCGAATGCGAATGCGAATCCATATACTCAGACTTAGAAGACAGATTGATACTAACACTCATACTAACAAAATGCAAACACTACACACTGATTAATACTAATACGAATACTAATTCTAACCCTTATGCGAGTACTAATACCAGTACCTATTGTAAAACTGATACTGAGCTAAAAATTACTCTAATACTAATACTAATACGAATACTTGTGCCAATACTACTAATACCGCGAATACTACTAATGCTACGAATACTACTAATGCTACGAATACTACTAATGCTACGAATACTACTACTACCACTACTACTACTACTACTACTTCTTCTTCTGCTACTACGACTTCTGCTACTACAACTACTACTACTACTACTACTACTACGACGACGACTACTGCTACTAATACTACTAATACTGCTACTACTACAACTACTACTACTACTACTACTACTACTACTGCTACTAATACTTCTAATACTACTAATACTACTAATACTGCTACTGCTACTGCTACTGCTACTGCTACTGCTACTGCTACTGCTACTGCTACTGCTACTGCCACTGCCACTGCTACTGCTACTGCTACTGCTACTGCTGGTGCTGGTGCTGGTGCTGGTGCTAGTACCAGTGACGCGTTGTTCCAGCGCTTCCTTGCTGTTCGTGTTGTTTTGCATTATTCGCAATCATCCTGCGCCTCCTCCTTCCTCCTAGCCACGACACACGAGACAGTTCCACGGACACCCGAGAGTCCTTGTCCACGTCGGAAAGGTTCCAGATGGCATGCAGGACCTTTGACGGAAGCTTGCTCTCCTCCAACTTCACCTTCGCCTGTGCCATCGGAGAAACGATTTCAGCTTGTTCTTCGTTTGCAAAGGTTTGCATGGAGCTGTCCTGCGAGCCCGAGATTTTCCCGGCAGCATTGGGACCTCTGCGCAAGAAGGCCATGGCCCCGAGCTTCGGAGCTTCACCGTGCACCACTGCCCAAGCCAAGCTGCCAATGGACTCGAAGTCCGGCGCATAGTCCTCAACCTGGAGGTCGCCAGCAGACGGCTTCAAGGTGATGCAGACACGGAGCAATAGGCAAGGATTTTCTTTGCATAAGGTCACATCAGGCGGCGTTGGGAACTGCGGGACTTATGCAGAGAAGATCTTTTGCTCCCCCTGCACATGCGACCACGCTAAGTATGAGACAGTTGGAAACACGAGCCACCTCAGCAAAAGCTATCGCTAGAGTAAACGCCTCGCATTGTTAGGTCTCGGAGACATGACAACCGAACGACTGCGGAAGGCCCCGGACTGATTTTGGTAGACACTCTGCTCGCTTTGCCCATCCACCTGATCATTGCGACTGCAAGGGATTGAGAAACACAGGAATCACCACACCTTCATCACAGCGAAAGGTGAAGCACCAACCGATAGCTGCGCCTCAGCGAAAGCAAAACGACAGCTTGTTCAAAAAGCTTTTCCTCATTCTGCTGGAGGCAAGGCACCACCTCCGCGGCCTGGGCTGCAGCGGCCTGCAGGGAATTCCCGAGCTGGCCCCGGGGACCCCTTCTCGAACTTGCCATCACTTCTTGGAATTCGCTTGCCCAAAAGCTTCCTAGCCCCCGGTTTACCACTCGGTTGAGGTGTCACTCCGCGGACGATCCTCCAGTCCTAGTGATCGCGATGCGCTGCTGAAGCCTTTCTTTCCCCTTTCCCTCCACCACGGTTGAAATGGTGCAGCTTTCCGACTCGCTATGTTGGTCCGTGTGGCTGGAGCTGTTGGGAATTGAAGCGTTCTTGGGTTGGCCGTGGAACGTCGAGCCCCATGGAGAGCTACAAGGACTCCGGAATTAATTTTGGAATTTATTTTTTTGTCTTTTGGGATGTATTGTTTTTTCGGTGCTGCTTCGCAACTGTGACAATAGTAGTACTTAGTAGTAGTAGTA